GCTCTGATATGTCCATGTCTTTATTGCACTGGAGGGCCCAGGACTGGACATAGTACTCCAGATGTGGCCTCACACATGTCAAACAGAGGGTGTGAATATCACGTCCCTCGATTTGCTGTCACTGTTCTTTCTAACATAGCCCAGGAGGCTGTTGGCTTGCTTTGCTTTAAGAGCAAATTGTTGACTCATGTTCAATTTCTTATCCACCAGAACCTTCAGGTGGATAAGAAATTCCTTCTGAACCTTTCCTGCAGAGCTGTTTCCTAGATAGACAATCCCGAGCCTAAATTGTTGTATGAGGTTATTCCATCCCAGGTGCAAGGCTGTATTTCATAAGGTCAGAATTCTTTCAGAACCTACCCCACATTTTTATGTCATCTATCTCATCCTCATGAATACACTTAAATCTTCTTGTTTAAATATTCTGGATTATTTTGTATCTATGTGAGAGTCTACTCCTTTTATTTTCTGTTCATCCTCTGATAAAAGATTCAGCAGAATACAAACCATGAAGGCAGGGCATCTTATTCTATCACCTAGGAGGACAATGTCATTCATAGCTTTTTTTTTCTGAGGTTGCCTTGGATTGGGTCTTAGTCAGTTAATGCATCTTCCTGTTCTTTCATCAAATTTCCATCATCCAAGTGAAATTGAATTGTACAAAAACTCTGATGGGGTATTAATCTTTTCAAAGGATAAATGAATTATTTTCAAAGACATTTAGACAATTTTCCAAATTGCTCAGGGTATTTGAAAAAAAAAAGAAAAAAAAAGGAGGCAAAGAGAATACAAAATAATATATTCCTAATTATTATTTCTACACACATCACAGGATACGTTAGGCTCCAAACATAAAATCATAGAGTTACAGAATCATTAAGGTTGGAAGGGACCTCTAGAGATCATTTAGTCCAACCCCCCTGCACACACAGAGTCACCTAGAGCATGTGGCAGAGGATTGCATCCAGGCAGATTTTGAAGATCTCCAGAGGAGATTCCACACCTCTTTTGGCAACCTGTTCCAGTACTGTGCCACCCTCACTCTTAAGAAATTTTTCCTGAAGTTCCTGTGGAACTTTTGGTCCTTCAGTTTGTGGCCGGTTCCTTTTGTCCTATCACTGGCCACCACTGAAAAGAGGCTGGCCCCCTCTTCCTCACTCCCTCAAACAAACGTGGGGTATGGAGGACACATGAAATCCTCCTAAACTAGAGTGACAAAACATCAGTAATTTATTTTACTAATGTTGAACTTTGTGATTTGCAGAGGATTTTCCCACAACTCAGTCTACACATTCAACTCCAAATCTGCTTTGGTAAAAGATTTCAGATCTTCTACCAGTTGGGCAGAGCTATCCTATCAACTATTCTTTAAGAGAAATTTCCCTTTTTTTCTCCAGATGAATAAACCACACAATAATCTTTCCAGACAGTCACTCTTTATTGTCTGGATTGTCTTGTCTGGATTGTCCATCCAGACAATCGCTCAAAAAAAGAATGAATAATCATTTACTTACTGTACATGTGTCACGATCCCTGATATTTCATAACTAGCAAATTACTTTCCCACATGTCAAAATAAGTAAGATATAGCAGTAAGGGCTTTACAATATGAAATTTTAAAATGAGAATGTTGGTCTACACTGGGATCATCCTTAGGCTGAAAGACAGAAAAACTTTAGGTCTACATTGACGCATTCCCCTACTGTTTTGATAGACTGATAGCTCTTGGTTACCTGTTTCTTGACTTCATAATTCTTATATGCTTGATTGTACAGAGTCAAAGAGTGATAAAAACAATTGCAATTTCCCATTCATGTTTTTAATTTTTCTCCTAATAATTAGTTTTTGATTGTTCCATCAAGGTCCTCCCTATGCAGTGCATATATTTAGTGAGTCACTGTCTCACGTCTTTAGTATCAATCATGATTAAAAAAAATACTGCTTTTGCATGGGTCAAGACAGCTGTTCTTGTACCCTGACCTGGTTATTATTTGGATAATTGCATTCTGTACCATTTGAAAGCTTTTTTAGTGTTCTGGTGAAATAGAACATTCTTCATATGCTTTCCTAAGCTCCTGCTTACACTTTGGAACATTTAGTGTATTTCACCCATATCAACCTTGGCGAAATCCTGCATTAGTAACATCATGTTAAATGTATCAATTTCTCTGGTGTAAAAGGCCTCTATATTTAAGTCCCTGACAATTTCTATTTTAAGATGCATTTTGTATTTTTTATTTATTCGGGAACTGTTTTTGCTTTGTTTTCGTAATGGCTCCACAAGCACAGAGCTGCAGCTGAGATTCCGATTTCGTTTTGTATCAGCCATGGTCATGATTTTGGTCAACTGCATTTGCTCCCTATATTTATGTATAAGTGAATATAGCTAGATACATGACAATGAAAAAAGTGTCTTATAAACAATATAATATCTTTTTCTGGATTTTATATTGTGGAAATGTATTAGAGAAATCCTCTATTCCAGAATATAAATGATTTTTATATATCTGTTGTATCAAACATGGCAGCTTCTGATCACACTTTTTTTATCTTCCATCCCTTGTGATACAGAAACTTTGCATAAATATACTGTTAATTATTTTTCATCACATAAAATCAATAATATTTTTAAGCTATACTCAGTCTTCCCACTAAGGACAGACAAGTATGTTTTAAAAGACCACTCACAGAAAGAGGAGTGAGATCAGAAAGCAAACCTGCTAAAAAATCAGAAACTATAACTCATAATAGAACAGTTGTAGGAAACACTCAATCCATGATTAAAAGACTAAATGAAAAGAAGTTCTTTTCTCTCTGATAACAAAATGCACAAATATAAACATAGAGATAGGAAGTTAAAAAAATTGTTTTATTATTTTCTTAATCTTAAATGTTCTCTGCTTTTCTAGTAAACTTTAAGATGCTTTATGGCTATAATTTTAAAGCCAGCATATCCAAAGATTCATTTTAAGGCAGTGACCTGCCTGCTGTTGCAGGCTACTGGAGCTCTGATTAAAAAGAACATCTCCTCACATGTGTCTAAACTTATTTCTACAAGCAAATACACTCCGAGTCAGTATTCCATCTATTAATCTTTTGTGTTATATGAGATTAACTGATTCTCTTTTTCCATAAGAGTTTTTTTTCAAAATTCTTTTTATTCTATTATATATTTACCATAGCACTGGGGAGTTTTGATCAATGACAGAAAACTCTAAGAATGAGTATCACACCAGCAACAATAAATAACAGAATTAACTTGGCTATTTAACAAGAGGAATACTCTGGCCAGAGTTTCTGAAAATCAAGGAGTTACAGAGTCTAGTATCTCTAATAACATTGATAAAATTCCTTCTTTGGAGTTAGTGTATGAACCAGGTCTTTTTATGTCTTTTTATGTTTAGTAAAGGTAATGATGTTCAGATAGTAATTTTAAGTGAGCAGAAGAGGAGTTAGTAAAATGTGGAAGTTTTATTCTATACTAAGTAATATTTTCACTATCTGTTATGCAGTTTAAAATTTGGAGCAGTTCAGCTTAGATAGCCTACCAACCTTCAAAAAAATCATTTAATTAAATGGAGACCTCTTATTTTTTACATTCTGTATAAGCTATTCTCTTGATTTTATTTATAAAGGTCATGTGGTAATGTTAAATTTCTCCTGATGAAACATATTTTTTTTCTTACTCATTTAAGAAGCTGAGCAACCATCATGTTTTGAGGCTGTATCTCTCTTTCACTTTCTATTGTTTAGTATCATACATTCAAATAAATGCCTAGCAGACTTGTGGCTTAACCCTCTTTTCTTGTTGATTATTGAGTGATAAATTAAAATCTGATAGCATTTAAATTGAATGTCCATGATATGAAAGCAATCAAGTGTTTCCCTCATTTCCACATGTTTAGCTCTGCTGACCTGATACAAGCTCTACAATTCTTAGAGGAATGAGCACTGTAATGGTGTAAAGAGAGGTTTATGATAGCCCTTTGGCAAATTTCCACTTGTGAGTTCCTTGGCAATCTTTTCCCTACTACTCTCAGTAGGAGTTAATGCTTCTTGCCCCTAGAATTTGGAATTACTTAGCCCTTTACGAACATCTAAATATGGAATGCTGGCTTTGACACCTTGAAAGAAGTTTACTATTAAGACATGCAATGGAACAAACTTGACAGTCCTTTAGGCTCCTTGGTAAATACTACTTTGACATTGCTATCTTTAAACAACATGCTTTAAAGGAACTTTATATCTGAAGAAACAAAAAAATGTTGGTCCCTTGCCAGCTATTATGCTGAATGCCTTCACCAAATCTATTGCAGTTGTGCTGATTTATGTCAGCTAAATATCTCGTTCAAACCTGGAAAATATGTATGCCATTCTAAAATCCACTAATATGTGTACAGTCTTTTTCTTGTTTAGGAGATTGATTAGGCTAGCACTATCTAGTACAACAAATATTTCAGTGGAGTAGTGAAAAAACCTCCCTATAGGAAGAGCTGACTTTTGACATCTCAGATTGAGAGGCAAAAGTTTGAAGTATGTTTATAAAAGAATGTTGTTGCCTTGTTAGGCAAGTTGATGGAATTGGACATTGAATATGAAGGACTTACATGTATCCAATGTCCAGTGATCTCAGCGCAACACATAGTATAAGAGATAAATTGTAAAGAAAATAACCTGGAACACCATGAGAACTGAAGCTCTAGAAATATGGTATGCAATGGATGAAGTTTTAAGCATTGCTTCACTCTTTACCTAGTCAGAATGGGATGCAATAAGAAAGGACATAATCCAAAGATTGTTTCTGACATGCTTGATATGGTGCCATTTAGACATTTACATTTAACCTAGGGAAGGCTAAATGAAAAGCAACTGATGAACACTGTATTTCACATAAAAATAAATATATGCCTTTAATCTGAGGTTATGTAAAGACATTGACAATGCAGAAGAGTTTGTCACTAATGTAAGACGGAAGAGCAAATTTTGAGACTCATTGAACAATGACAATGTGGTTGCATACCATGAAGAGGTAAGTCGAAGGTGGGAGAAAAACTCCAGAGCAGCAGAAAGATGCAGAACTAAACCTTGCTAAGATAATTTTTTTTTTTGCACAAGAGCAAACTAAAAGAAAAGTCATGTTTACTTCCATCCCCATTGCAGAGCAACTTCAAAATCAGCTCTATTTCATCTAATTTATAAGCTGTTAAGTGCATGACTGCCATAGTTTGGGTTTAATTCTTGTTTATCTTTGTGTTGCATTTACTTGCATACTCAGAATTTCCCCTGAAGTTCTATCCAGATTTTTATCTCCTTTCCTATGATTACTTATGACTCAGAACTTAAGCAAGATATTTAACAATTCTGAATATCTACCAACTTTCAGAAATGCCAGTTTTGGTCTGGTGTCTATCTTGTTCCACTTAGCACCATGTGGTTCAACTGTCTCTATGTGACTGCTTTAAATGATGAAATACATATTTCACATACACTAATTATAGACAACTGTATTTTACATAAAGCACTAAGTGAGAATGATCTATGTCCTTTTTATCTTTTTTGTGATGTTGGGCAATAGACCAACAGAGACTTTTTGAGGAAGACAGTGAGTTTGAGTAAACGGTCTCAATAGGCTTCAAAGGACATGCCCTTCGACACATGCCCAAGATGATGAATTCGTATAATTCGTTCTCATATCAGAGGATAAGGTGTTTGACGATGAGGATGTCATCCAGGAAACAGTTATGCTCTCTGTCGAGCGTAAAATCAGAAAGTATCTCTCTTCTTTTTCATCATCTCTTGCTCCTGTTTATTTTCTCAGCTACAGGCATACGATGCCTGCAGTTAAGTCTGAATTTGCCAAAGTATAAACAGACAAATAAAGCTAAATAAAATTAATTGTAGGACTTTTGTCCTAGAAGCAGCTATCACTTTCACGAATATAACTCTATGCACATCTATTCTCCCACCTTTGGACAATTTATAAAGATAAAATGTCTCTGAGGCCATTTCACCTCCAGTACCAATACTATCCCTGTGGCAACTTTAGTTCAAGAGATAATGTCCCCTGCGATTGGCTTTCTTTTCCTCATCTCCTTTTATAAATCTATTGTTTACTTCCTTTGCTTAATACTGTGCTGTTTACAAATCCCTTTACTTTTGCATTTCTGGTCACCGTTTTATTTAATAAGACAACAGCTTTGACAGATTATAAATCTTAATAGCTTATAAATCTTAATATTTTATAAATCTTAAACTAGCAAAGCAGCTAATTACAGACCACAGAGATTAACTATATTGTGGTAATCCTATGCTCAGAGGAAGGGACAGTATGTTTACACTGCACACTTTCCAAAAAGACTCTTGTAGAATTTGAGCCATTATAGTAGAACACACTGACGCTGTATTTTAAGGATTTAGGACTATATTGAGACCTCTTACTTTAGGTATCAATCTTGGATATTGCACTGCCAAAGAATTAGGTTGCAGAGTGCTTCAGATCACAGAAGTCTTTTGTATTTTTAACAGAAAGGTCAGAGTCTCTGAAGAGCTCCCTAAGATGAACTGAACTGGCTGAGCTAATGTGCTCCGCAGGTGTCTCTGACTCTTACCTGATTGCACAAGGCTAATCACCTGCCTCTGATATGAACATTTGTGATCAGATCACATCCCTGACATTAAATGCTTTCATGACTTAGCTACTATTAAAAATTCATAATCTCTAATAAATGCATATTTAAAGTCTGCTGGCATCCCAATTACACTAGAATTTAGCAGTCTGGCTCAGGCTCTAAGTATTTATTGAACACAGAATACATCACAGAAGTACACATCTCCAGCATAACATACTGAGAATTAATGTTATTTGCATTTATCCTATACCAAATGTCAAAAATGATGGCTAATTTGAAGAGCAGAAATTGCAAAAGGCAAGTGTAGAGCTATTACA